ATAAAATAAAATAAAATAAAAAATGAAGGATAGTTTGAGGACAACTGGCACAGTGAGTCTTGGCTGCACTGTTAAGAGACTAGTCCTTTGTCATTGCCAAGCGTCCTGATTGTGAGAACCGGACCATGACTGGGTCTGAGAACATCCTTCTGTATGGAAATGTAAGTGTTTGGGGGCAAAGGGACATAATGTCTGAAACTTACTCTCCAATAATAGTTTGGAGGGGAGAAAAGCAGAGAGCGAGCCCATGATCAAGCCCGTGAGCCATTGTTAACCATTGGTGAATCTGGGTGAAGGGCACACAAGAAGTCTTTGTCCTACTGTTGCCACTTTCCTGTAAGTTTAAAATGATTTCCAGGGGCGCCTGGGTGGGTCAGTGTTAAGCGTCTGCCAGCCTTCGGCTCAGGTCATGATCCCAGGGTGCTGGATCGAGGCCCGCATCGGGCTCCCTGCTCCGCGGGAAGCCTGCTTCTCCCTCTCCCTCTCCCACGCCCCCTGCTTGTGTTCCCTCTCTCAACTGTGTCTCTCTCTGTCAAATAAATGAAATCTTAAAAAAAAAAAAAAATGATTTCCAAAGAGAAAAAAATGCGAATTAAAAAGTCAAGGTTTGAAAGTTGGAGGTTTAAGGCTCTGTGTCTCTACGAGTATCTGAGTATCTAAGTCTGTGCATGCATCTGTGGTCAGGGTTTGGGGAATTGGGAGGGTGAATTTGCAGCTTCAGACGCGGCCTTGGGGCGTGACCGGGGCCTTAGGGCGTGGTTAAGGGGTGTGGCCAAACTCAGAGGCCTGGCTGGGATGAGGGGCAGGCCTCAGCCTGAAGGGCGGTCAGAACCTTGGGGCGAGGCCAGGGCCTCGGAGGTGTGGCCAGACTTTGGGGGCGTGGCCTGAGAAGCTCGTTCCCGAAGGTGAGTCTGTACTTGGAGCGCCCTCTTGTGGCTATCCTCGGGTATAGCCTCCACTTTTCAAAAAACAGCTTTATTTTTTTTAGAAAATTTTAAAAAATTAAAAAATAAAAACAGCTTTATGGAGACATAATGCATACACCATACAATTCAACTATTTAAAGTGTACAGTTCAAAGGTTTTAGTAAATTCAGAGAGCTGTGCAATCATTACAATCAATTTAAAACCATGTCTTCACCCCAAAAATAAACCCCATACCCATTGGTAGTCACTCCCCATTTCTCCCCAATCCCTTTCAGCTCAGGCAAGCCCTAATATACTCTCTGTCTGTATAGATTTGCCTATGCTGAACACTTTATGTAAATTTAATCATACAAGGGCGCCTGGGTAGCTCAGTCGGTTAGGTGTCTGCCTTCGGCCCAGGTTATGGTCCTAGGGTCATAGGATCGAGTGGGCATTGGGCTCCCTGCTTGGCGGGCAGCTTGCTTCTCCCTCTCCCTCTGCTGCTCCCCCTGATTGTGCGCCTTCCCTCCCTCTAAATCTCGATCTCTCTCTGTCAAATAAATAAATAAAACTTAAAAAAAATAAATACGTTTAATCATACAGTATATGGTATTTTGTGACTGGCTTCTCTCACTTTTGTTTTAATTGTTTTTTTAAGTAGGCTCCACGCCCACCATGGAGCCCGATGCTGGGCTTGAACTCAGAACCCTGAGATCAAGACCTGAGCTGAGATCCCCAAGAGTCTTGAGCTGAGATCAAGAGTCCGATGCTTAACCACCTGAGCCACCCAGGCGCTCCTAGCATAAGGTTTTTGAGGTTCATCTACCTCATGGCATTCATTCCTTTTAATGGTTGAATAATCTTCCATTGTACGGGTACACTGCTTTTAATTTACCCACTTACCAGGTGATGGACGTGTAGGTTATTTCCACAGATATTTGCAGGGATGCATGTTTTCAGTTCCCTGGAATATATCCACATAGGAGGGGCTTGCTGGGTCATACGGTAACTCTATTTTGCCATAGATAAACTCTCTTTATTTCCTCTACTTTGAGGAGCTGCCAAATTGTTTTCCAAAGCAGCTGCACCGTTTACATTCCCACCAGCAGTGTACGAGAGTTCCAATTCCTCCACAGCCTCCCCAGTACTTATTATCTGTCTTTTCCATTACGGCCACCCTAACAGGTGTGAAGTGGTAGCTCATTGTGGTTCTGATTTTCATCCGACTGATAACGATGTTGCGGATCTTTTCATATCATTCACTGCTTTTGGATCCACTATGCGGCTAGATGAACTCTTAGCCACTTTGCCATATTGGATCCAGATTTTTCAAATTAAGGCATTAATGACATCATTGAAGTCTTGGCACGTCCTTCGTTGAAGGACGTTGAAGTCTTGGCACGCCCTGCATGTCATGTCCTCCCATGTTTTCATACCATGATCACATACAGATGCATCCCCAAATAATCTACGGCATTGGTTTTGCAGGCTTTCAAGCCTGATATAAACGACATTGCCCTGTAATTCTTCTGCACCTGTTTATTATTATTATTATTACTCATTATATCAGTTTCCTAGGGCTGCTGTAACTAAGGACCGCAAACTGAGTGGCTTAAAGCAACAGAAATTTATTTTCTCCCCATTCTGGGAAGTAGGAACCCAAAATCAAGATGTTGGCAGGGCTGTTCTCTTTGAAGTCTCAAGAGGAGGATCCTTCCTTGCCTCTTCCTAGCTTCGGGTGTTTGCCAGAAATTCTTGACATTCTTTGGCTCTGATCTCTGCCTCTGACACCATGTGGCTTTCTTCCATGTATGTACCTGTGTCCGTGTCCAAATTTCCAATCATGTTGGGTTTACAGCCGACCCTCATAATATGACCTAATCTTAACTTGGTGACATCTGCGAGAACTCTACTTCTAAATAAGGTCACATTCTATTTCTACATAATGTTCTAGTGGACTTGAATTTGCGGGCGGGGCGCACTATTCAACCCAGTACACTCATCATTATGTTTTTAGGACTCACACTATTGGTATGTGTATCCAATTCATTCATTTGAACTACTGTGTGGGAGGCCTTTGTGAGAGTATACCGCAATTTATTCATCCCTCCTGCTGATGACGGCCTTACCTTGTTTCCAGTTTTCTCCATTTCCGACAAGACTGCAATTAACATTCCTGAACACGTCTCTTGGAGTTTCTTAGGGCAGTAATTTTCAAACTGCCCAACAAGATCCATTAGTGGGCTAGTGAAATCAATTTAGTGGGTTGCAAACATGATTTTCCCTTTAATGAAATGGAATTAAATAGAAAAGAAGCTATTATAACACATGTACATAGGGTAAGGATTACCCTGTGAGACTGTTTTGGGTGTATATCATGACCCAATATAAGCAAACGTGTTTAAGAGCCACGGAGGATGGATGTAGCCAGCAATGGCCCCGCACTCTGTCCAGGGTCTGATGGGTGCTGCCAAGTTGCTCTCCAACTCATTTGTTCATTTACACTTCCATCAGCTCCTCATCAACACCTAGCATAGCCAAAAATCTGACTTTTTGCCAGGCCAATGGGTTTTCAACTTATTTCTGGAAGAGGAAACAGGCTCAGAGAGGGCAGAAACGCCAGGAGCTGGACGACAGACTGCCATCCTGACTGCAAAGACCTGGTCTCTGCTGGGTCTGAGATGCAACGTTGAAGATCCTGTAAGTGAAGAATTCTCGGGGGTCTAAGGGGACACCTGGGTGGCTCAGCCGGTTAAGCATCTGTCTTCAGCTTCAGGATCCCGGGGTCCTAGGATCGAGTCCTGGAACTGCTCAGCGGGGAGTCCTCTTCTCCCTCTGCCTGCCGCTCCCCCTGCTTGTGCTCTCTCTCTCCCTCTTTCTCTGTCAAATAAATAAAATCTTAAAAAAAAAAAAAAGAATTCTCTGGGGTCTAAAACAGAATGAAAGCTGAGTGGGGAAAGGGGTTTAGGATGAGAGCTGAGGGTACTCCACCTCAAAGGGATGCCTGAGACGCAGGGACCGCTCGGCCCACAGCGCCCGGGGGTGGCCGCCCAGCGCACAGCCGGAGCGGGCTGACGCTACAGGTTAGGCTGACCGGGGAGAAAACCACGCTCTTCCAGCCCCGAGCCTGCCGGACGCTCCTTGACCCCCGCATTCTTTTTCTTTTCTTTTCTTTTCTTTTAAGATTTTATTTATTTATTTGACACACGGAGAGAGAGCACAAGCAGGGGGAGGGGCGGGCAAAGGGAGAGGGAGAAGCAGGCTCCCCACTGAGCAGGGAGCTCAACTTAGGACTCGATCCCAGGACCCCGGGATCATGACCTGAGCTGAAGGCAGATGCTTAACCAACTGAGCCACCCAGGTGCCCATGACCCCCGCATTCTTGAACCCCATCTTCCCGCCTCATCTCCTGGGGGGGTTCCCACCTCCTCTGGAAATCTGGGTGTCTCAACTCTAGCCTGATTTTCCGCAGGCCCCTCACGTGGGGACTCAGGAATTACGTTGCCAAATTCCTGCTCCCTCAGATACCCAATCCCTGCTACTAGGGGACACCAAGGGGTCTGCTCATGCTATGCTTTTCTTGTCCGGGACAAAGGGATCGCACTATCTCCCCGACCTTTACTCCTAAAAATTTCAGCTCTCAGACCTTTAATCCCATGCCACAGCCAACGATCCAAACCTGGGTCCAAAAGTCCCAGGAGTGCTCCGTTCCAGCCCCAACTCCCCGAAGGGTTTGGATAGCTAAGCTCCCAGCCCTACACCCAGCCCGCAAAAGCCTCAGCTCTCCCCCAGCCCCTCCTCCACTGCAGCCTTGGCACCCAGCCTCCAGTCGGTCTCAGAAGCGGCCCAGGCGTCCTACCTTCAATTCCTACCCACTGAAGAGTCTCCTCCTATCTCCACCCACCGCAGCCACCCCCTCCAACTCTCTTTAGGGGATCAGACTTTCGAACCCCATCTCTAGGAACCCAGGTGCCAGATCCCCCCAGACCCCGCCCCGTTCAGAGCGCAGCTAACCTGCTGTCCCCGCCCCGCTTCTCCAGGACCCGCCCCCTCACCTTTCGTTCCGGGTCCCGCCCCCACCCTGGGCGGGGCCGCACCTTTGCCCGCCGCCCGCCTACCGCCCGCGGCTCCCCGAGAGCCCCATGGCTGCGGCGGCAGCCCCCTGGGGGCGGCAGTGGGGAGAGGCCCGCGCGCTCGGCCGGGCGGTGAGGCTGCTGCAGCGCCTGGAGGAGCAATGCGGGGACCCCAGGCTTGCCTCCAGTCCCCCCTCGCTGCCAGACCTGCTGCCCCGCATCGCGCAGCTGCTGCGCCAGGTGGCCCACGCCCGGCGGGCGGCCGACGGAGGCGGCGACGAGGGTCCCGGTGGTGCGAGGGACTTTCTCATCGTCTACCTTCACAACCTGGAGGCCAAGAGCAGGCAGGTGGCGGCACTGCTGCCACCTCGGGGTGGGAGGAGTGCCAACGACCAGCTCTTCCGGGAGGGCTCCAGACTCAGGTGAGCAGCCGCCCTGGCCGCAGAGAAAAGATGGGACCAGCGCCCTCCTCCCTCAGACCCAGGAGTCCAGGCCCCCAGCCCCTCCTCCTTCAGACCCAGGGGTCCAGGCCCCCAACCCCTCCTCCCTCAGACCCAGGGGTCCAGGCCCCGAGCCCCCTCCTCCCTCAGACCCAGGAGTCCGGGCCCCCAGCCCCTCCTCC